CATCTCAAAAAAAAAAAAAAAAAGATACTGTATTTTTTTCAGGGCAAATTGGGACCTTTGAGAATAAGATTTGTTTTGTTGTTGCTGTTGTTTGTTTTGGAGGGTTTTGTTTTGTTTTTGTTTTTGAGACAAGGTTTCTATGTAACTTTGGAGGCTGTCCTGGAACTTGTTCTGTAGACCAGGCTGGTATTGAACTCACAGAGATCCACCTGTTTTTGCCTCCTGAGTGCTGGGACTAAAGGTGTGTGCCACCACTGCTGCCACCACCACCTACAGTGAAAGGGCCAGCTCTAAAATTTGAGCTTGTTAGCCTTTGAAAACAGTTTCTCCAGTGCACTCTGGTGAGGCTGGGGCCACATCAGGCTAGAACAGAGTGGAGAACAGTTGCTGCCCCAACCCTCACAACCAGTGCTATGTATAGAGATCTTTGTCAAAAAACAGTAGTGTCTTGGCTACCTTTGGGGAAGGGGAGCCTTTTGTTCGTACTTACCTGTATCTCTTAGGGGATGCATACAAAGTCAGGCTTCTTCCTGCTTTACCTACACACCACCCATCCATAAACCCTCCCCAGAGATTTGAAAGAAGCCCTGTGGGAAATGAACAGAAGCCAGACTCAACCCTAGAGAGACAATAAATAGTCCTGGAGTTGAGGCTGCACACCCCCATTGTATAGAACAGTGCCATCCCTTTTCCTTAACATGGTTCAGTGTGACAAACCCAGCTTTCCCTAGAGATTCTGGGGTTTAGAAAAATAACTCAGGCAGGTGAGATAGATGCCTTTCAGCTTAGACCTAGCCAGACCTAGCTAGATCCTCTTGGACAGTCTTAGGTCTAGACTCCTGAACACCAGGGATGATGACACAAACAAGATGTGTTTCTTTCTTCCTATTTTTTTTATATGTGCATAGGTGTTTTGCCTGCTTGAATGTCTGTGCACTACATGCATGCAGTGTCTGTGGAGGCCAGAAGAATGTATTATAGCTGTGGTTCAGAGTGTACAGATGGTTGTGAGCTGCCATTGGGTGCTGGGAATTGAACTGGGTCCTCTGGAAGAGCAGCCAGTGCTCTTATCTGCTGAGCCATCTTTCCAGCCCTAAAAAGTCACTTTTTTTTCCGAGACAGGGTTTCTCTGTATTGTTTTGGAGGCTGTCCTGGAACTCCTTCTGTAGACCAGGCTGGCTTTGAACTCACAGAGATCCGCCTGCCTCTGCCTCCCGAGTGCTGTGATCAAAGGCCTGCGCCATCACCCAACTCTGTCAGATTTTTTAATATAGTTGGGGTTATAGAGAAAGCATGTCTACTGGACTTTTGAATGGAGTGTATCAGTACTAGTGAAGTCCCACATAGTGCTTGGCTATCTTCTTAGTAGCCTCAGGCTTAGGAAACCCCCAGCCAGCCATCCCAGCACATTCCTTTCCACAGCAGACCCCGAGGGTGCAATCTTGAGATTCCCTGGGCATTGCCCTTGAATGCTGCATGTTCTGTAAGCTATGGATAAGCAAGAACAGAGTAGGCCTGGGTCTTCTGCTAATGGACCCTTCAAGCTGTTTGTTGAGAGAAGTGGATGGTGACCCTGGTTTGCCACTGCAGGGCAAAAGGGAGCTAGAAGTCCAGAGCACCCAGGAGGGATTACTAAGCTGGTGTTCAAAGTGGTAAGAGGAAAGAACCTTACTAGAAATATTGCTTGTGGCTTGTATCTCATGCACAGTCTCATTGAGTCTTGCTATCCCTGAAAGAAATTCAGCTGAGTGAACTCAGGAGCTGAGTGAAAGAGGTGGGATTCAGACTCAAATGCTAATAAGTCAGTAAGATCATTTGAACCTGTAATTTGAGATCAGCCAGGGCAACATAGTGAGACCCTAGCCGAAATAAAATGACGTTTTCTGATCCCACTGCTGTTGAGTAACTAGCTTGAAGGTCCTGGCTCAGGGTAGCTTTGTGGGTAAGGCATGGGCTGGCCCCTTTGTATGGCACTGTTGGGCTGGGACCTAGTTGGCAGCCACAGCCCAGGTCCCCTTCCACAGTTTTGACCGAATACGCTGATGGAGTGGTTTGGCAGTAGAGTCTTTTACAGTCCCTGTTACTTTGAGACTGCAGCCTCGTGGGTGGCAGTGGCATGGGTGGACTCCCACAGAGAGTCTCTCATGTCTGGGATGTCCCATGCATGATGTCTGGGGATACCAAGACAATGAACCATTTCCTCAGCCACCCTGTACTTTTGTTTTGGGTCTCCCCATTTTGATAATGAGTCAGAGAAGTGGGTGGTACTGGGGTTCCTAAACTGTACACATGGAGCCTCCTGGGCTGAATGTAGCTTGCTCTCCTTTTGTGTTACTGACATCTGGGTAAGTACTTGATGTGTGGCAGGGCACCCTGACATTGGCTTTCCTGCTAGAGTGCCTGTGTGATTAGTTCCTTTTGAGAGTAGCAATACCTAATTTCTTTGGAGAAGGAGGAATGGTGAGTTTGGTGGCATTCTGTTAGAGTGTTACCCCCATTTACACAGCCCCATCGTTCTGAATCAGAGCTAACTGGATATGATTCCCTATAGAGCCCATACAGTAGTGCCCACCTGTCCTCTTATGACCCTGTGTCCTGCTGTCCTTTGATGAAGCTGTCTCTAGTCCTTGTTTTGTGGTGCTGGGCATCAAACCCAGAAGGGTTTTAAGCATGCTAGGCAAGCAATCAACCACTGAACTTCATGTCTGTGGTCTTATAGTGGGAATGGTAAATCTCATTACTGGACACATACCCAACTTTATGCAAGAATGAGTGTGCATGCTGTTGGCTTTAGGGAATGAGTGGAGAAGAGTGTACTAGTCTTTTTTTTTTTTTTTTTGCTTGTTTTTTGTTTTTTTGTTTTTTGTTTTTTTCTTGAGGCAGGGTTTCTCTGGCTTTGGAGGCTGTCCTGGAACTAGCTCTGTAGACCAGGCTGGCCTTGAACTCAGAGATCCACCTGCCTCTGTCTCCCGAGTGCTGGGATTAAAGGTGTGCGCCACCACTGCCTGGCTGAATGTACTAGTCTTAAGGAGAGGGGCTGGGTAGGAGGAGCTTACTGAGGCATGACTACTAGTCCCCTAAATAGGAAGGCGACTTAGCACCATACGTGACTTTCAAGCTTCTAGGGATATTGCATCCTCTGCCTGGTTTCACAGATGAGGAATGGAGAATCAGAGGAATGAAGCTGTTTACTGGTGTGGAGTCATGTCTGCCACTTGGCTTGTGCCACTCTTTCCAAGTGCAGAAGTAACTTCATTGTTAGTCTCTGTATGTGGAGGAGCCTCATGTGTGCTAGACACTCTACCACTGAGCTCTACCCTCAGCGCTAACAAACATTCTTTGAGCACCTACATGAGCAGATGTTAAGTAGTGTGGATAGAAGGATGCTTAAATAGGGTTACTTAGTCCGAGAACTTTGACTACATTAAGGAAGAGAGGCTATCTTTGACCAGCTTGGCCCACTGACCTCTGGAAGAGCAAACAGGTGCCATCCAGGTCTCAGGTACCCAGATGTTCCTAAGGGCTCTTTATGTCTTTTGTCTCTGCTCTCCTCCCTGCTTGTTAGCTTTAGGCTCCTAAACTGACTTTCTTAATGAGGTTAGAACAATGGCTGCAAGGGAATTTGAGAACTGCTGTCTTCCTAACTACCTGTGGAATTTTTTTTTTTTTTGCTCAGATGTCTTTCCCTCTGATCTTTGTGGCAAGAAGAATTCTGCTTTCTCTCTCTCTCTCTCTCTCTCTCTCTCTCTCTCTCTCTCTCTCTCTCTCTCTCTCTCTCTCTCTCTCTCTGTGTGTGTGTGTGTGTGTGTGTGTGTGTGTGTGTGTGTGTGTGTGTGTGTGTGTACATGTATGTACCACATGCATGCAGTGCCAAGAGAAAAGAAGGACACTGGATCCCCTGGAACTGTAGCTACAGATGGTTGTGAGCTGCCAGGTGGGTGCTGGGAATTGAACTCAGGTCCTCTGGAAGAGCAGCCAGTGCTCTTAACCGCTGAGCATCTCTCCAGCCTCTACCAGATGTTTCTTGCTTACTTGATTGTTTACTTACATGTTATGTCTTTCTGCTCCTTCCACATTCCACATCCCCTTTGCAAACTCCCAGGAGTTGGGGGTTTGTTAATTACTCAGTAGCAGAGGGGATGGAGCCTTGCCCTTTTCCAGAAAGGAAAGTCCCATGCTATCTCCAAACCACTTTGCTGTTGCAGCTGCTATTCCTGAGGAAATACATAACATTCTGGAGTTTAAAAATATCTTATTTATAGCCAGGCAGTGGTGACGCATGCCTTTAGACCCAGCGAGCACTTGGGAAGCAGAAGCAGGTGAATCTCTGTGAGTAGAAGACCAGCTTAGTCTATAGAGTGAGTTCTAGGACAGCCAGGGCTATATAGAGAAACTTAGTCTCAAAAACAAAACCATCTAAGTAAATAAATATATAAAAATAAAATGTTAAAAAAATAATTAGTAGAGCCTAATGGTGAAGTGCCTGACTAGCATTCCTAAGACTCTTAGTTCAATCCCTAGTACTACCAAAAAGAAAAGATGAATTTCCCAGTTAAAACACATATACATATTTTTAATAGCTGGGCATGCTGGTACTCTCCTGGAATCCTAGCACTTGGGAAATAGAGGTTGGAGAATCAAAAGTTCACGACTAGCTTCAGCTACATAGTGAGTTTGAAGCTATTATGGACTTCATAAGATCCTGTCTGAAAAACAAAAGCACTCTTAACAATCGACCCATCAGAATTCCCCTTTTGCATTTGTCTTCTAGTGAGTCCCTTCCAGGTTTTGGTTCCTGCCTCAGTTCCTCAGAGGTGATAGTCTGGTGGACTCTGTCAGAATATGTATGCAGCTTAGCAAGACCACATCCATCAGCAGCTCTGTGAAAGACCATACCCTAAGTGCTGGCTGAGGTGGATAAGAAGCCTGGGGATATAACTGAGACCTTCAGAGTTCTATCAAGTACATATTCTCAGTTATTGCTGCTCTCTTCCCAACAGGTTGGGACAAACATTCCTATGGTTACCATGGCGATGATGGGCATTCCTTCTGCTCCTCCGGGACGGGCCAGCCCTATGGTCCCACATTCACCACAGGGGATGTGATCGGCTGTTGTGTCAACCTCATCAATGGCACCTGCTTCTACACCAAGAATGGCCACAGCCTCGGTAGGTGCATAGGAGACCTTGGAGGGTCTGGTCTGTGGAGCCACTTTGGCTGATGAGAAGCTCAAGGCAGGCCTTGAAGTCAAAGTAGTATCATGGAGCCTCTGCGCAGCTCTGGGGAACTGCAGTCTTTGCCAGCCATTGGAACCCTTTCAGGTGAATGGGAGGCAACAGGGCATGCCCTTTGTTAAACTGTCCCTTCAGCAGCATTTATTGGACAAGCTCAGGGTAGTTGTGAGAGTGTTGTAGTATTCTGGGCATGATCCTGGCTTGTCTTGTCCGTTGTACTTAATAGAGAAGAAATTTGAGGGCCCTAAGTGGAGTTATCAGTGATTATGATTTAGACTAGGGTTTGCATGCCTATAACCTGGTCCAAACTTTGTCCAGTTCTTCTGACAGTAGGGCACTGAAAGTAGCAGTGAGGGCTGCCAGACAGAATGTAAACAGATAGGAAGGAGTCAGATAGGGACAGAACTCTGGCCTGTTCATGCTTATCATGCAGCAACATGACAGCATTACCAAAAAAAAAAAAAAAAAAAAAAAAAAATCCAGAGAGAAATGAACTGGAGAAAGGGCCAGGAGAAAAGGCAAGCCTCTGGAGGTTGATTCTCCAGTGATGGGTATGAGAAATGGGAATAGATGCCCAGCAGGGCAGATGGGTGGGTGAACTTTCGAGAAGAAGTAGCTGGACTAGTGAATGTTAAGCAAGTGGAGTGAAAGAGTATAGCAGTGGGAAAGCTGGGGGTCTAATAGGTTCCCTGAAGGAGCTGTTGTTCTATACATGTATAGAAACATCAGAACTTAAGCTGAACGTGGTAGTGGATGTCTACAATCCCAGCACTGGAGGGATAGAGGCAGGAAGAGCAGAAGTACAAGGCCATCCTCAACTGTATAAAGGGTTTGAGGCCAGTCTGGACTATAAGAACACTATATAAACAAAGGGTTTGGGGGAGGAAAGAGAAAAGGCATGCCAGATATGGCATGTGCCTGAAACTCTAGCATTCGGGAAATGAGGCAACATGGTTTCTATGAGGTAAAGGCCAGCTTGGGTTGTGTAAACTACCCAAGGTTGTCCTGTGGCTCCCATACATGAATACATACACAAGACAAACTGAATTAATTAAAGTTTAAAACATGAAACAAATTTCATAGGAAGTGACTCTGACTATTCTGATGCCTTGTCCTACCAGGCACTGACCAGTAAATGACCCCAGTGTCCCAACTTGGTCCCTAACTGTTAGGTTTGCCTGCCTTGCAAGGGTGTTTGCTCTATCCATACCCTGCTTCTCCCAAGAAGACCAGTAGCACCTTACTACCCAGGCCACCAAGCTTTGCAGAAATGGAAACTGGGTGCCCTGCTTCTGCTGACTTTTGGGGCAGTTAAATACCTGGCTGCGGTCTCTACAATCTGTGTGGTTTTTCTAGGAGATGGGCCAGCCAGAATCAAGAGCCCTAAGGGGATTAGGTTTGCTACTGACTGGGAATAAGCAACTAAGAGCCCACATTCTTTGTATACAATGACCTAGAGAAAGCAGGAAAGGACAGAAAGATGGGTGGCTGGGAATATGTCACAGCAATAGAGCTTCCCCCAGTGTACATCTGGAGAAAGTCTGAGACTGATCATCACCTAGCTATAGTCGCTGGTGTCCCACTAGCGAGGTCTCAGGCAGGTTCTTTACGCCTCTGCTTTCTGACTCTAGCTGTTTCCTCACTTTGGGTTTATCTGCTACCAGAATCTAAAGGGCTCTTGTATGCTGTCATTGACCATCCTTTTACCTGCTGTCTGCAGCCAGGCTCAGTCCTACCTCTTCATGTACCTGCTTTCACATCCCTCTAACTTGTCACATCTTTTTTTTTTTTTTTAAGGTTTCCTCTTTTTTTTTTTTTTTTTTTATTTATTATTAAGTATACAGTGTTCTGCCTGCAAGCCAGAAGAGGGCACCAGATCTCGTTTCAGATGGTTGCTGGGAATTGAACTCAGGTCCTCTGGAAGAACAGTCAGTGCTCTTAACCTCTGAGCCACCTCTCCAGCCCTACATCTTTTTTTTTTTTTAAAGATTTTTTTAAAATTAAGTATAGTGTTCTGCCTGCATGTATCCCTGCAGACCAGAAGAGGGTACCAGGTCTCATTGTAGATGGTTGTGAGTCACCATGTGGTTGCTGGGAATTGAACTCAGGACCTCAGGAAAAGCAGCCAGTGCTCTTAACCTCTGAGCCATCTCTCCAGCCCCCTTGTCCACTTCTTGCTTACAGCATGGTGTCTGTTGTGGAATATAAGACTTGGAGGATACTGTGCTATATCTATAGTACCTGTATACTTAATGCCTCCTTTGGGCCCTGTAGATGTGTGCTAGGACCACCAAAGGGCCTGGAACACTTTACTAATCAGGTCCCCGCAGGCAATATTTGCTATTTATCTACCTAGTGAATGCTTTTTATGGATCCTGTGCAAAGACTTATCACACGTTTGTTTAAACTTGATGTGGTAGTACATTGCCTATTTTTTCTGTGTTTTAAAAAAGTTTTCTGTGGTCTTGTTTATTTTTTAAATATTTTTATGTTAATTTCAAACTTCTGTCAACCCAGAGTATAATAAACAAGCATCATTTAATGAAAATACTCATTAACATTTTAGAAGAGAAAAAGGCCAAGATTTGAGTCCTACATGTAGTTAAACTTGCCCAGGTAGACAGTTACCATTAAAAACCAGTTGTATGGTCTGGACATGTATTTCCACAAGTGTATTGTTGAGACCTAACTGAAAATTAGCAAGTTCTGTCTTTTGCATTTTCTGGATCATGAAATTTCATGAAGTTTGACTGATAGATGCTTGGTGAATCTTCCCATGTCATGTACCATCTTATTATTACTAATATGCTTTAGATTCTAATCCTATCCATTTTAGGGAATTAGAATTACTACGTATCCTACCTCTGACCTCCCTGATCCTTTACTTTGTCATAGCACTCAAGTCTTATGTGCCATCATTAATTATCTCTGTAATTATTCTTCATATACCATCTTTCTTACTGAATTCAGGGACATTTTGAGGGTCAGCTGACTTATAGCTATTTCCCTGGTCCTATTACTTACTGGACCTGGCTCCTCAACAGGTATTTATAAGTGGAGATAGAGGAGTGATACCTGGTCCACAAGTGGTCTGTGTGCTTGTGGATTCTTCTGTACTATCTCAGCTTCTGAGACTCCAGACCTTTTTGATCCAGGGCTCTTCTTATCAGCAAGTCTGGCAGTCTTGTTTGCCTGGCCTCTCTTCTTGTGGGTCTGCAGGTGGTAAGACTCATAGGGCCTGGGCAGCGAGTGATGTTCTTTTCCTCATTGTCCTGAAAGCCCTTCAAGGACTTGTCTTTCCTGGAGCCATTTGAGGCAGAATTGGTCAAGTCTAACTGGGTCAGCCTCTGTCCTAGAGTGTGACCCAACTACAGCCAACTTGTACCTAGACCTGATGGTGTATGAAGCAACTTTCATAGACTGGCTCATTTTTGTTTGTTTGTTTCTTTTTTTTCCCCCCCTTGAGGTAAAAGGTTAGTATTACTCTTTCTTCAGATGGGCTAGATAGAGCTTTTGGGTAACTTTCCAAAGGTCACATGGCAATCCCTGATGGAGCTGGAGTCCCTTTCCTTTTTTTTTTTTTTTAAGATTTATTTATTTATCACATATACAGTGTTTTGCCTACAGGCCAGAAGAGGGCACCAGATTGAATTGCAGATGGTTGTGAGCTACCATGTGGTTGCTGGGAATTGAACTCAGGACCCCTGGAAGAGTAGTCAGTGCTCTTAACCCCTGAGCCATCTCTCCAGCCCTCCCTATCTTTTAAAGCCCTGTGAGCATCTTCTCAAGCTGGTAGTGCCTAGCATCTTGGATACTCCAAGTTCTACAAGAGCAGCTTAATGAGGGGCTTCTGGCCCTATATGTGAGTCTCACAAGTGGCCAGTAGAGCATAATAAGGTTTTTTACTTTTACTCATTGGAGAGCAAAGTAGCTGTGCAAAGAATGTGTCTCTCTGTTTACCTAGGGTTTTAGTCTGTACACTAGTGTGAGAAATATTGCACACTTCCCAAGGCTTTTGTCAGACTTCACTGTGCTGTTTGCTGAGTTTCTGTTTTCTGCTGGATGAGGGTTCAGAAAGTCCTTTGGGACCTTCAAGGAGTCAGTGGTTTGAATACCCCTAATGCCAAAATCGGAGGAGTTCCCTCTCTAAAAAAGAGGTCTGTGAGGCCTTGCAAGAGCCTTCCTTGGCTCTTCACATTCTGATGCACCACTCTTAAGGATATTGCTCAGGTCTCCTCATGTTTGGGGTTGCATGACCTCCACCCTTACTGCAGCTCAACTCTGAAGTCTCTAGAGATGCATTGTCCAGTTCTAAAGGAGGGGTTGGAGATGCACAGGCCATTGTCAGCAGTGCTAGGACAATAAAGGGCAATAAGGAACTTCTGAAGACCTGGAACTAGTGCAGTCTAAAGACAAGGGGCTGCCACCCTCCCTGCCTGCACTTCTCTGTCAGCTTTTTCGTCAGACTCAGACTTGGAATGTGTGCACATCCACCACACCACTACAGCATCAAGTGACCAAAGGCAATGCCTTTAGCCCCATGCTCTTTTTCCTGTTTGTAAGTGGGAGAATGAGCAGAATGCCTGTCCTGAGGACTTGACCTGAGGAGTGGACCACATAGTAGAAAAGGGTGAGAGCACACCGGCTTCTGTAAGGACATGTCAGACCAAGAGGCTTGAACAGCTTTAGGTGATGGATCACTTGGATTTAGTTCTTTCTAGCAGATGTTCTTGCAAACGTGGAAAACTATAGGTAATTAATTACCTAAGGTTCTGGTTTCCCTTCTGATTAGATTACCCAGCAAGAGGAAGGCTCAGACCTAAAACTACCAGGCTCTAGTACATGCTTGGTCACCATTTGCCCCTGAGTTCACAGAGGCCTGGAGACTAAGGGGCCATCCCTATCGAAAGGCCTGATCACTGTCCTTTCCTCCCCACAGGTGTGGCCTTCACAGATCTCCCGGTAAGTACTGCTGATGGCTTCCTCCTTCTGGGCTGGTGAGGGCTGCCTGGGATGGGTGATGGAGCCTGCAAGAGCAGGGTGTGGAGTCCGGCCCTTTTCCCAAGCAGGGTGTGTGATGTGCGGCCAGCTTGAGGGTGCCAGTAGGGGTTGCCTGCTGGTCGTCCTCTCTCTTCAGCAAGGCCTGGTGTTCCTCCACGTCTCTTAGCAGGTGACAGAAATTTGTGGCATTTCTAAGGCAGTTGTGGCGGGTGGGGGTAAGGGAATGGTGGTGGGATGAGGGTGACTCCATGGCACAGACAGATCTAAAGCAGATGCCTGTGACTTCCAGCCAGTGGGCCAGGGTGTGGCATATAGGGATTGCTCCTGAACTTCTAGGAATCGGTCCTTATCCAGGCCCCTCAGAGATCCCTGAGGAAACCTAGAATGCTGCTATTCAGGCCTCCCCTAAGCCTGGGAGATGAGTTGTGTAGGCTTTTCTCTTTTTAGAAAGGGATGGGGTTTCCTGCACCTTAGTTTGGGACTCTTTCTCACCTTTCTGTCCCATTACTTTACTGAGCTGTATGGGCGTGTCATGCACAGAGCCTTTACCCAAAGTGTTGGGAGCCTGCATGGGTCTGTGTGCCCTGGATGGTTCTAAAAAGGAGTTGTTTCTTGACTTTGGCGACTGCTTTAGGATCCTGGGTATACCACTGTGCCCCAGGATGTGTGTTTCTGATCTGAGGGGTCTCTGAATCTTAACGCAGTACCCACAGTCATGTTTGAACTTCTGTCTGTGTATCAGAATCCTTCCTTCATACCTGGAGGCCCCAGAAAGGGGCTGTTGTCCTAGGCACAGGGAGCAGACTCAGAAGAATTCTGACTCTGGCTGGGGAAACATCTAGGTATGGAGACATGACATGACATGAGCAGACGTGAGTGTGGGCAGTGTGCTGTCACGTGCTGGAAAGACTGGGAAATATCCCGATGGGCGTTGCCTGTGGTGTGCAAGATGGGAGGAAAAGAAAGGAAGCAGAGAGTCTGTAGGCTTAGAAACATGAGGTACACATGAATGACCCATCATCTGAGAGTAGAAGATGAAGAGGGCTCAAGGAAGTGAGGTGGTGCTGCACACCTATAATCCTAGCATTTAGGAGGTGAAGGCAGCAGGGCCAGTTCAAGGTCATCAACTACATAGAGAGTTTGAGGCCACATGGACCACATGAGACCCTATCCAGGGGTTCCTGGGAAAATGGTGTCTAGAGGCATGGGGAGAAGGTGAGTGAAGCTTTGGGTGTTGGCAGTAGGACCACAGGAGACACTGAGTGAGGATGTGACCTGACTGAAGCTGGTAATGGGAGGTGGTGGTAAAGGGAGAGAGCTCCATACATCACTGTCACTCACTAGAAGGCCTGTGCTGAGTAAGCTCTGACAGGAAGAGGAGCAGCCCCCTCTCAGGTACCAGTTCCAGAAGCAATTCACCAAACCTTTGCCTGTTCTCTCCATGTCCTTCACTTCCTCTGTCATCCCATCCCCTCATGTACCTCTTCTTTGTGGCCAAGGACATCCTTGGCCCTGCTTCTCTTTCCAGGAGAAGCCATAAGCCACCCGATAGCACATTTTTATTAGTATGTATGTAGTGGTGTGCAGCCTGTCTGCTACTGTCTACCCTGGCCACAGGCTTTGGGGACACAGCGGTCTTTGCAGAGCAGGAGACTTTACATATTGAGCCTTGCTTGCTTTTCTTTTTCTTCTCCCTTCAAGCTTTGGGTATAGTTTTTCTGCTAGGGAGGTGGACAGAATGTGATTGATCCCTGCTGCCTCTGCAATGCAACTAACTGTCTTCCAGCCCTGGTATTGGCTGGCAGGAGTCATGGACGTGAAGAAAAGCCTCAGGGGCCTGACTGACATTCATTCTCCTCCTCAGGCCAACCTCTACCCTACCGTAGGCCTGCAGACACCTGGGGAGATTGTGGATGCCAACTTTGGGCAGCAGCCCTTCTTGTTCGACATCGAGGACTATATGCGAGAGTGGCGTGCCAAAGTCCAGGGCACTGTCCATGGCTTTCCCATCAGTGCCCGGCTTGGTGAATGGCAGGCAGTGCTGCAGAAGTGAGTGTCATCCCCCCTCCGCCTCCTCCTACCCCCAGATCTCATGATATTATACACATAGCAGTGCTGTGAACACCACCAGCAGTTCCAGCGGCGGGTGCTTCTGAGAAACACTGGCAGAAGGTGCAGCTGCCGCTGCTTCCCTTGCCCACTCGCTCGATTCCTTTGTGCTTTGGAGCTGCTCCTAGTTAAACCTTGCCTGGCGCTGGAGAAGTGACTCAGAGGTGAAGAATACTCTTGAGATCTGAATTCAATACCCAACACCCATGTCAGGTGGCTCACAGCCACTTGTAACTCCAGCTCCAGGGGCATCTGGCATCTCCAGCCTCTCCCAGTTGCATATACCCACACAGAACTGCATGCATACATACAATTAAAAAAAAGCAAAACTTCCCTTCAGGCAGCTCACAAGGCTCCTGTATGTAAGATCACCAGCACAGGACAGGTATGGTGGTGCACACCTTTAGTCCCAGCACTCAGGAGGCAGAGGCAGACAGAGTTTGAGGACAGCCTGGTCTACAGAGCAAGTTTCAGGATAGCCAGGGTTACATAGAGAAACCCTGTCTCTAAAAACCATTAAAAAAAAAATCATGTTGCCATACTTTAGTTTGAGATCACTTCACAGGGTCAGTGTCCAGCTAAGTATCCCTGTGTCTATGGCAGAGTGGTATCAGGAAGTCTGGTTTAGGATCAGCCTAGCAGGCTCCTTGGCTGATTAATGTCTAAATTGTCTTGGAAGCCAGTGTTGCTGAGATCCAAAGGGGGCCAAGGTTGGGTCTTCATTTTACTAGCCAGCTGAATACCTGGTGAAGCAATGCCCATTACTCATTCACCTGCTAGGAGGTGGATGTGAACTTGGCTTGGCTTCTGCTAACCCTGATCATTGTTCTGCAGAGGCACCAGGGGTGAGGGATAGGAGTGCAAGATACATTGGATTCTCACCCAGTCTCAATCAGGCTCCACCTCCCCACCCCACCCTCAGCCCCGCCCTTTCTCCTTGGATCACTTTCTCTTTGTGGTACTGGAAATTGAACTCAGAGCTTTGTGTATGCTAAGAAAGCACTATCACTGAGCCACATCCCCAGTATTCAGCCTTTTCTCGAGGAGTTGGTACTAAGGCAGCTTTAAGGAAGGGCTGCAGTACAGGTAGCCAGACCTGGGAAGAACAACATAACCACCTTTTGGTTCCCAACCCAGCAGGTGAGAAGTGCTTCCTTAAAGGCCAAAGCAATGCTGTTCCCCACAATATACTTGTTGATTGAGCAGGGGAAGTGATGGAGTTATTTTCAGGGTCTGGACTTAGCACATGGATGTTTTTGTTTATGTGCATGTATCTATGGTACCCGTATGTGTTCTATGCAGCATTTGCCAAGACCTGCATGTAATTCATGTTCTGTTATTCGCATAGCATTATTTTATAAATACTGGAAATGGATAGGGATAGGTATCTTGGAGATAGATTTGTCACAAGCTTCAAGTCTGACTGGCTTTCCCTGATGAGACTCAAGTATTATCATCCTCCCTCCCTTTGGCCCCTTCCTCTCTCTGCGACAGCAGTAGAACCTGGGTCCTCTACATGCTAGGCAGCCACAGTACTGCTGACCTGATTTCTCCTGCCCCTGTTTCTTTTGCTGATATAGGTAATCCTTTTATAATAAAGAAATAAAGCTACTTTATGGGACTAGAGGTATGGCTCAGAGGTTAAGAGCACTTGCTGCTGTTGTACAGGACCATGTTTGGGTGTCAGAACCCACATGGCAGCTCACAACCATTTGTAACTCCAGTTCCACAAGATTTGAGACTCTTCTGTATTTGCAGGCATCAGGCATACACGGAAGTACATGTGTATACATGAAGGCAAACACTCAAACACATAAAACAGCAAACAAATAATAAGTAAATGCTTAAAATTACTTCCTTAGTGTCCCCTAAAGCAGTATTTTGCTTTTTCACACGAGGTTTCTCTGTGTAGGTCTAGCTGTCGTGGAACTCACTCTGTAGACCAGTCTGGCCTCAAACTCAGAGATCCTCCTGCCTCTGCCTACTGAGTGCTGGGATTAAAGGTGTATACCACCACTGACTGGCTAAGCAGTATTCTTAAGTCAAAGAAACTATATTTAATTTTTTTAGAGATTTATTTTCTATGAATTAGTGCTTTACCTCCAGGTGTATGTTATGTGCACTGTGTGTACCTGGTACTTGTGGAGACCAGAAGAGGGCATCAGATCCCCTGGAACTGGAGTTACACATGGTTATAAGCCACTATATGAGTGCTAGGAACCAAATCCAGGTCCTCTGCAAGGGTAGCAGGTGCTCTTAAACCACTGAACCATCTCTCCAGCCCCAAGAAAGTACATTTTAGAGGTACCTGTTGTTCATAAACAGGCTCATCTGAACCATGTTGTTTTTTTCAAGATACATTACTCTTCTGTCTATAAAATGCCAAGGATTTTGTTTGTATTATCTCATTTACTCCTTAAAACATAAGAAGACAAACATCCAACGTTGCACAGCCTTAGAACATTTCCCATACATCTCCTGTCCACATGGGTCATGAGAGCTCATCTTTGTACACATGCATGTACAGGTGCACATGTGCATACATATGGCACTGCTCAGCCAGCTTTAGATGGGTTTAAATTTTTGTGGTACATTATACCCCACAAAGACTGTGCTCCTATTGGCTGTGCTGTGCCTGTCTCTTTCCAGGCTCCTGATACATGCATGGTATATCATAGAATTAATTTGGCCATAGATTAAACTCTATTACTCTAGATCAGTGTCTCTCAACCTTCCTAACACTTAAATATGGTTCCTCATGTTGTAGTTACCTCCAACCATAAAATTTATTTTCTTTTTCTTTTTTCTCTTTTGGTTTTTTTCAAGACAGCATTACTCTGTGTTGCTTTGGAGCCCTTCCTGGAACTTGCTCTGTCCCTGAACTCACAGAGATCCGCCTGCCTCTGCCTCCCCAGTGCTGGGATTAAAGGTGTGCGCCACCATGACCCGGCCCATAAAATTATTTTCATTGCTACTTCAGAACAGTAATTTTGTTGTTGTTATGAACAGTAATTTAAATATCTGATATGCAGGATATCTGATATGTGACCCCTCCCCCACAAGGAGTCATGGCCCAGAGGTTGAGAACTGCTGCTCTCGAGCCAGCGTCCCCACATGGCAGGCTCACTGGGGACAAAGACACTTCTGTCTAGTACAGGCAGCCCCAGAGCACCACCCTACCTTGCTCACCGTTTGCTTAAGTTTAGTAGTTCTGTCAAGTGTGGGTATGTATGCCAGGCATTCTCTGTATCCAGGCAGCTGCCACATGCCTGGCTAGTTGTTGATTAGGCAGCCCTGGGGTAGGCTCATTGACCAGACCTGGACTTGCTGCAGTCTACCAGAAGGCAGCCATTTCTGTGAGATCGGAGGCAGCATGTCTCAGAGAACTGTAGCTACTCCTGACCTGTGAGCACAGATATGACCCGTCCCTCTCCTACAGACAGTATGAGCACTTGAGGGGTTTTCATTGTCTTCACCTACTTCTAGGTCACATCTCCACAGTATATTTAGGGGAGACCTCATGGGGATGTATGCAGTCGGTCCCCTTTCAATGCTCTGTGAGAAATGGGGTTCTTAGATATCCCCTATGTGGAAGGAATTGGCAATAGGGTGGGAGGATGGGGGGGGATGGGGGGGTGCGGGAGGAGGGGAGGGAGAGGGAACTGGGATTGACATGTAAAACAAGCTATTTAAAATTAAAATAAAAAAATTGTAAAAAAAAAAGAAATGGGGTTCTTGAGGGTTATCTTAAGCTCTTTTTTTTTTTCTAGCATGGTCTCATCTTACCTGGTGCATCATGGGTATTGTGCCACAGCCACAGCTTTTGCCCGAATGACTGAAACCACGATTCAGGAAGAACAGGCATCCATAAAGAATAGACAAAGTAAGTTAATGCTCCTCTCCCCATGCCTCCTTACTTGCTCTGAATCTGTAGCTCATTCCTACTGAGCCTGTCAAGAGTCCAGTCTAACCTTGTCTTTTCCATCCTGGTAACCAGCTTGCTGACTCCAGTCCCTGCTCCCATCCTTCATTCAAGATTAACCTGCCACGTGGGTAACCAGTGGCCTCAGAAGGACTCAGAGCAGCCTCCCTAACATAACACACTCTGACAGTCAGGTGTAGGCTTGTTTATGACATGGCAGAACCCCGTTCTTCCACGTTTGTTTCCTCTCCCTATCCCCTGAATCCTGGGTTCTACTTGGTCGCCTATTCATTCCAAAAGGAATATTTGCATTTTACTATACCACCACCCTGCTCTCCCATCACTTACTTAAGTTTAATAGCTCTACTTGTTCTTAAGCAGAGAGGACTCTGCTCAGACAGGGTGAGGCTGATGCTGTGTGACTGTTGCCATGCTCTCCTGCCTCCTACCTCTAGTCCTACCCTGCAGACACCCTATTTTTTCTTGGCCAAAGGTGGCTGTTCTGGTGTTCTGTGTGTTTGGAACCCTTTCATGGAAGGAGGGATGGGATAGAGAACAGAACCCACACAGTATAGGATAGGAGAGGAGACTGTGGGTGAGTGGATATATGTGTATGAATGTATCGGTGAGTGCCCACCTTTGTCTCTTTCAGCCTGTCACCTCTGTGTCTGTGTCTGTCTATGCCTGTGCCTGTGCCTATGTCTATGCCTGTGCCTGTGTCTGTGCATGTGCATGTGCATGTGCATGTATCTGGGTTTCCTAGAGAAGCTGTGTTCAACCAGATAGATGGAAAGGTACCCTGTCCTAGACTTGGAGTATACAAATGAGAGAGCTTCAGATCCAGAAGTCATTCACAGCAAGATGCATCAAACAAATTCATAGGACAAGAGTAAGAAGGGAGTAGCAAGATGCTGATGGCCAGAGAAGTGCCATCCTAGGAGATGCCAGTGCGAGGTAGACTACCTCTTTCCCAGCACAGAGCATGCTGTAGTTCAAACCAATGCACACCTCTGTGAGGCCTGAGGAGAGAGCAGTCTAAAGAGGCATGCTCAGGCCATCCAAAGATCAAGGTCTCACCCAGGGCTCCCCTCACTGCCTAGCTCCCTGGCTTCCTGTGCCCTGCAGGAGTGGACTTCCAGATTCCACCCCCTACCTCTGGGCTGTGAGCTCTTTTGTTCTCCCTCATATTCTTGATGACTCCATGACAGCTGACCAAAACTAGCCTCTGCTGTGGTCCTGGGCAACCGGGTGCCCTCAGCCTTTTCTGTGAGCTTCTCCAGTTAGCAGTATGCCAAGAGCCAGCCCACCTGACTTCTGGCGAGGGATATGGAAGGGATCTCAGCCCTTACTCACAGCCATGCTCTTCTCTACAGAAATCCAGAAGCTGGTGCTGGAAGGCCGGGTGGGTGAAGCCATTGAAACAACCCAGCGCTTCTACCCTGGGCTGCTGGAGCACAACCCCAACCTGCTCTTCATGCTCAAGTAAGTTGGTTTATGATTCCAGAGCCTGGCCCTCAGCTTGCAACAGGAGCCTGCAGCCTGGGCCAAGCCCAGAGCACCAATGCTCTGATCCCTTCACACCAATGCTCTGATCACTTCACAGGTGTCGACAATTTGTGGAAATGGTGAATGGCACCGACAGTGAGGTCCGCAGCTTGAGCTCCCGAAGCCCCAAGTCCCAGGACAGCTACCCTGGCTCCCCCAGCCTCAGTCCCCGACATGGCCCTAGTAGTTCCCACATGCACAACACAGGTTAGCGATTCTCCAGAGTTCTCTGGGAAGAGCTGGTGTTGAGAAGAATGGCCGCCCCACCTACCTTTCCTTGTCGTCTTAGGACTGGCTACTGGATTGGGTGGAAGGGAAAGGCTACTGTGGCAGTTCTTGGGGCCTCACTTCTGCCCCCCCTTCTCTGACCCACCTGGCTTCTAGGAGCAGACAGTCCCAGCTGCAGCAATGGCGTTGCATCTACCAAGAACAAACAGAACCACAGTAAATACCCCGCACCCAGCTCCTCCTCCTCGTCCTCGTCCTCCTCGTCCTCCTCTTCCCCGTCCTCCATCAATTACTCCGAGTCCAACTCAACAGACTCCACCAAGTCCCAGCCCCACAGCAGTACCAGTAACCAGGAGACCAGGTGCCTGTCTTGTTCCTCTCTCTCCGATCTGCTCTGTTCTCTTCCCGCAGGACCCACACTGGGTAGTTTCTCCTTTTAAACACTGCCCTCTGCCCTTTCCCCCACCTCTGTTGTAGGTCTTACCTGGATTCCATCCTATTGAAAGGTCAAGCCAAACCCTGGTTCTGGCTTTTGTCCCCATTCAAGATATAGCTGTCCATTTCCTTGGCTCTGGTTTTGTCTGGAGATGCTGACCCTGCCAGACTTGAGAACACAGGGAATCCTTCTCTAAGGAGGCTGGGCCTAATAGAACCTCAAGGGTCTGCAGTTAAGGGGTTTTTATGAAATCAGGCTCGTGGACAAGAAGGTGATCTGGGCTGTAGGCTGAAGCTCCAAATGGCTTTCAGCAGGTTCTAGGCATGCCTAAAAGCTGGCCTTGGTTCGGGTCCTGCCAAGGCCACAGAGATACCCAATCAGTTCAGTTGGTAGAGATGAGAGGGATGTATTGAAGAGGTGTGTCAACTCAGAGTGCTACTGAGAAGAGTCACAGGGACAGCTTTGGGCCAAGAATAGGAATCATGTAACAGGCACCTGGAGATAGCTAGTAGGGGCTAAGTTTTGGAGCCTAGGGAGCTTGGTCTATCCTTTCATGTTCCTGACAGTCCTTCAGCTTACATGAAGTGATGGTAAACAAACCCGGACAGAGGCCTGACTCTTAACTCTTCTCTCTCTCCAGTGACAGTGAGATGGAGATGGAGGCAGAGCATTACCCTAACGGTGTGCTGGAAAGCATGTCCACACGCATCGTCAACGGTGCCTACAAGCATGAAGACCTGCATACAGATGAGTCCAGCATGGGTAAGTATTGTTCCTTAGGGTGACCCAGCCCCTGTGTTCCTTGAGAGGGCAACTTACCGTCCTAATGCCCATTTCCTCCTAAGAGGGGCTAAGATGGCAGGCTCTGGCAGCTTGAGAAACTGCAGCTGGACTGAGTCACCACTTTCTTAGTCATTCCTGGATGCATCCTTGAGGTGACTTGCAGCATGTAAGAAGACCCCTTCAGGGCTAAAGCAAGTTTAAGAATGTGGACCTCATTAGCATCATGCGTTTGTGCAGCGTGGGGAGAGGGACGTTGCCAAGTCTTGCCTCAGCTGTAGTCTGTATGCCAGCTGGACTTAGCTGCTTCACCTGCTTGGTCTCCCAGCTCTTGCCTGCCTTTGGCAGAAGCTGTAGCTTCCTGTTCTTCTCTCTTCCCTCTAATGTGTTTTCTGCTGGCCTTGTGTGCAGATGATGGGCATCCACGGCGGCAGCTCTGTGGGGGCAACCAGGCTGCCACAGAAAGGATCATCCTGTTTGGCCGAGAGTTGCAGGCATTGAGTGAGCAGCTGGGCCGAGAGTATGGCAAGAATTCGGCCCACACAGAGATGCTGCAGGTATAGGATAAGCCAGGTCCTCACATAGAACAGTTCCCCATTTGATGCTGGGACTCTGGGAACACCTAGGGGCTGTAGTAAAAGGCTGGAGTGGGCTCTAGTCATGTCTGTAGTAGGATGTGGGGTGTTTAGGGTGTTCCCCACCCATTCTAAGATCTAAAGAGGGTATAACTTTGCCTGACTATAGTCTAGGTATATTGAGCTTTCCCTGGTCCCCATGCAGTATTCTGTCCTTGTCTGGAGCTATGGGAGTATGTATAGTATGTTACCTTCCTCTCACGAGTGCTCCGTCCCTTAGGATGCCTTTAGCCTACTAGCATACTCAGACCCCTGGAGCTGCCCCGTTGGCCATCAGCTTGATCCCATCCAGAGGGAGCCTGTGTGTGCTGCTCTCAACAGCGCCATTTTAGGTGAGTGCGTCTAATGAAAGCAAAAGTAGTTAACCCATGAGTGTGTGGGTGGCCACCTTCCCTCTTCCTAGAAAGAGCATCAAGGTTGGCATAGGCCTTCACAGGGAACCTGACCCTAACTCCCTCTGCCTACCTGAGTTGGCTGCTAGTTCATGGCCATGGGCCAGACCAAGCTTGCTCTAGAGAAGACCAAGGTCCTCCGATTCCTGTCATGAATGAAGGGCCATGACCTGGTGGCTAGGACACTCAGACAATAATACTGTTCTAAGAGTTCTGTCCATACCTCTGACCTCTAGGGAACTTTGACCTGTGCCCAAGTCCTTGCCTAGGCATTGACCATACCTTGTAATCTCCTCCACAGAGTCTCAGAACCTGCCAAAGCAGCCTCCTCTGATGCTCGCCCTGGGCCAGGCATCTGAATGTCTACGGCTCATGGCCCGAGCAGGCCTGGGATCTTGCTCTTTTGCCAGAGTCGATGACTACTTGCACTAGCTGACCTTCTTGGCTGGCTCTGTCCAGCCGTCCTTCAGCCCTAGGGCTGGAGCAACCCTGCCCGCCATAGGCATCTGGTACAGAGACCTGGAAGCCATGGGCAGAGTCCCACTCCTCCTACCTGGCCGGTCCTCCCTCCCTCCCTCCCCCTCCTCCCTCCCTCCCCCCCCCCCTCCCTCCCTCCCTCCCTTCCTCCCTCCCTCCCTCCCTCCCTCCCTCCCTCCCTCCCTCCCTCCCTCCCTCCCTCGTCCTCTCTTCCTTCTCCTCCCTTCCACGTGCAGCGGCCTGTGACACAGTATTGGCTGTTTACTCATGTAGCGGCTTCTCCTTTAAAGGAGATTTTGTTTTGAGGAGAGGTTGGGGTTTTTTTGTTTTGTTTTTGTTTTTGTTTTTTAATCTTTTTCTTTCCCTCCTGACTGAGCCACCAGTGTTTATCTCGGGAGAGTTTGTGCTGAGCTGGTTTCTGCTAATTTAGTAATGAAGCCTATCCAGGTTGATGATAGCTTATTATTTTCATAAGTAAAACAAACAAACAAATGAGATTATATATATATATATATAAATATATATATATTAAAAAAAGACACAGTATTTATCGTAGCACTAGTGGTCCAGCACCTCTTGGGTGAGGCTGTCCAGACACCATGTGTTTTTGAGTCCAACTCATTAAAAAAGAATCATCTCTTGTCACTTCAATCAAGTGATTTGTTTATTTTAGGCTTCCCATTTGTTGAGCCACAGGTCCAGCTGCTGCCCAGAAAATCAAAATGGGTTTGGGGGAGGCTGCTTGGTGGGCAAGGCCAGGTTAAGCAGCTTTGCAGCATCCCAAGAGGTGTGGGTCTCTAGGCCCCTTGTAGGTAGACAGACACAGAGCCGCAGGTTCAGGGATTCCGGGAAGTGAGGTGGCCCGGGGCACACAGCAAAGCAAGGGAACACAGGGTCCGTAGCCAGCACGCTGTCTACCACTCTACCCTGCCTCTCACTGCCTGCCTTGCCCCTCTCCCCCATCTCAATGTCCTGCCTTCCCTTGTTGTTAAGATGGCCAAATAATTCATTACTCAGTTGAATGCCTGGAAACTACCTGCCTTCAACCCAAGAGCTGCTGTATACCAGGCTGCCGAGAGGAAGACTCCATTCCCAGGACAGAGGCCCTTAAGTACAGGCTGGCTGCTTTCTTCCTGCCTGGGTCTTCACCATCACTGCCCAACTCTGATGGATTGATGTTTCCTGTGGATAAGTTGGCACCTCATGGCTGATTCTTGGACCACTGTTCCAGAGTGGGTGGAACCCTTGGCTTCCTGGTCCAGATTTCCTTACAGCTGTGGGAGACTGCTCCCTACAGCTTGGCCCCAGTGACTCTTAGGAAGAGGAGACTCCATGGGCCTCACAAGTGTCCCACCAGCTGTTTCACATGGATCCTCACAGCTGGTGGAGCAACAACAAGAAACCCTACCACCACAGGGCTGAGATGCTGCCAGGATGTGGGTGGGCCATCTGTTGAGGGGACTGTCTGCCAGGGAAGAGGAGGGTCTATATAGAGGAGACCTGGAGGGACCAGGATCTCCTTACCTGCTTTACAGGGTGAGTGAAAAGCCCAGACAGCCTCTGCAAAGAGTAGGTCCAGCTGTGGCAAGGCCACAAATGGGCTTCCAGTCCTCATCTGAGTCAGGGCTGGGGGAGCTCATGTTCTGTTAGTGGACACAGAAATCAGTGGTAGAGCTGGAGATGTTCTGTGCCCACAAGGCCTCACAGCTGTCAGTGAGAGGCCAGGACCTTGGCTGAAATCTTCCAAAATTTTGCTTTGGGGGCTAATCCTGTAGGCGACTACATTTTCTTGGTTCCTAGCAGGGCCTTAGCAGCTTGTCAGAAGAAGGTCTTGTCCTGTGTAAAGAACATTTTATCCTATTCAAGACTGGATCACCGAGCTCCGAACTCAGGTTGGAAATATCAAGCTGTTACAATGGTCGCCTCACATTTGGAAATGAAATCCAGTGGCATTTGCAGAGCAGTGGAATTTAGAAAAACATCATCACCAGCCCTCTCCTTTGCCAGTTAAAGAAATAGGCCCAGGAGATTAAGTGACTTGGCCAAAGCCACACAGCAAATAGTGTCAGAGCCAGGACTAACTACTCCTGTGGGTTAGCCAGTCCTGCTTAGACTTACAGCAAAATGGCAAATGAGCTTTGTGAGGGTTAGGTTGGCATGACTTTAGCAGTGCCTGAGCAGTAGGTACCTTTAGGAGTGTGACACGGGTGGGGATGGGTGCTTAGACTTGGGTTGTGGAGCGGCTGAGAGGGCCTTGGAGGGCTCGGGACTGCTGTGTGCTGCGTGGGGTTGTGTGTCTACCTGGCTCGCACTCAGTACCCATGGCCACCTCCCCATTTTCTGTGCCTTATCTCACTGTTTCAGCTGAGTCCAAGTTGTTTACTCTGTTCCTCTCCAGAGGTGTTCTCTGTCCCAGTTGGACAGCTCACTTTGGGGACACAAGCCTTTGCTCCACAAGCTGTGGGGAGGGCCAAAATCAAGCTGCTGGAGCCAGTGGTTAGTCCAGCCCTGCTGCCAGAGGAAGCCCATATGTAACCCCAATCCTACTAGCCTGTTTCCAGGAGCCTGGAGTGGACGCAGTCAAGGGCTGGACCTCGCCCTTTTGGATAGGAGGAGGATCTGGCTGTACTGAGCTGTCCAGCCCTTGGGGAGCAGCATTCCCTACTCACTTCCCTTCGTGGCACCAGATGGTAGCTCCTTGCAGAGCAAGGACCAAGTTGGCAGACCGCTCAGAGTCAAAAACCCACATCGCCACCCCTTCCTATGAGGGTCTGACTGGGAGTAGGCTGGCAGAACAAGGATATCTCAAGCTAGGGAAGTAAGGAGTGCTTGGCTACCCAGCACCTTCCCAGCCCTTAAGCACAAAAAAGACAGAGGCAGAGGACTGTCGGGGCTGAACGTTCCTTTGGTTGCTCACAACTCAGGTATGCATGTCATTTGGCAGCTGGACAGCAGAGCCCCGCTTCACCATCATCGCAGGCATTTGGACCTGTGGCCACGTGGTGGCTTCTGGCTGTCCCCGGCGCCCACCTCTTTGCATAGGTTCATCAACTACAGCTGAAACAGAAATCCTCCATGGTGTGCACACTGGCTCTGCCTTTGTCCTTGCAAATTGATACTCAGCATTAGCATGAAACTTGTGGTGTGAGAGGGTTGACAGAATTCTAACACAAACATCCTATTAAATTGTACTTGAGATGAAAATTCCTGTTGTATTTTGACAAAATTATTTTTATTAAAATACACATCCATGGCAATTGTGTCTCATTTGTTTGGTCTTACTGGGGTTGGTGGCCCCCTACCTCTTAGTATCTCCTCAAGGACTTAGAACTTCATCTTTGCAAGACTCCAAAAAGGACAGGGACTGTAGCTAGTTCCCTCTTAAAACAGCTTTCATCTTAGACAAGGAAAACAAAATTAACTTCAGAAGGATGGGCTACAGTGCCCTTTTCCTCCACAAAAGTACATCTACAACACAAATCCTGTACCCCAGGCTCAAGGATCATAATGGAAGAGGGACAGAAAGACTGTAAGAGCCAAAGGAACCGGTTTGCTGTGAGATTTCGTCTAGAAATGTCAGAGAAGCTATGAAGTCTCATCAACATGGCTGCCTCAACATGGCCTGAATGTGTGTAGCACCAATAGAAGGGGAGCTCTCACAGGGCCTCAACCTTTGACTACTGCAGGCAACTAAGGAATGTGAGAACAGGAGAAATCGTCTTCAGGGAAGAGCCCCCACATTGGTTATCCAATACCAAATGGTCAACCCTGAAATCATACACTAAAGTAACATACAGATTGTATTTATACACACACACCACACATATATGTAACAATGAATAAAGGTCACGAAATTGAGAGAGCAAGATGGGTGCATGGAAGCAAAAGGAACAATTGTGTAATTAAATAATTAAAGCTGGGTGTGACAGTATATACCTTTAAGGCTAGCCTTGAACTCAGATCCACCTGCCTCAGCGCTGGGACTAAAGAGTGTGCGCCACCATGCCTGATCTAGATACACTTTTAAAAATCTGTGTGTGGCCGGGCGGTGGTGGCGCATGCCTTGAATGCCAGCACTTGGGAGGCAGAGACAGGTGGATCTCTGAGTTCAAGGCCAGCCTGGTCTACAGAGCAAGTTTGAAGGACAGGCTCCAAAACAAACCCCCCCCCAAAAAAATCTGTGTGTGTGTGCGTGCGTGTGTGCATGCACGCTTGCCCTCGAGAGCGCACAGGCGCCCTTCTCCTAAGATGCACGTTTGGAGGCCAGAGACTTTGGTGTGTCTTCCTCAGTTTCACTCCACCTTTTTCTTTCTGGTTTTCGAGACAGGGTTTCTCTATGTAGCCCTGGCTGTCCTAAAACTAGCTCTGTAGACCAGGCTAGCCTTGAACTCACAGACACAGAGATCTGCCTGCCTCTGCCTCCCATGAACTACCACCACATGGCCTGGCTCACCTTAAATTTTTAAGGTTCCTTCACCTTAATTTTTTTTTTTTTTGAGGCAAGGCCTTTCACTAAACTGGAACTCACAGTCTGAGGACACTGGCCAGTAAGTCCTTAAGATCCTCTCCTTCCTGCCTTGCAGTTCTGGGATCATGGTTTATGTGTTTTTGTACCTGACTTTATTTAGATACTAAGGATACAAATCCAGACCTTCATGGTTGCCCAGCAAGGACTTTACCCACTAAAGCATCCCCCCAGTCCCTATGTGCAACTAAAAAGAAACTTTTTCTTCATTGGGTGTAGTGGTACATACTTACCAATCCCAAAACTTTGAGAGGTGGAGATAGGAGGGTCAGTACTAAGGCCAGCCATCTCTTATAGTTTGAGACTAGATTGGGCTACATGAGAAACTGTCCTGAAAAACCAAAGCACACAAAGGTCTTATTGGCCCCTGGTTAATTGACTCCATGGGTGTAGAACACAAAAACCAACTGTATATTTTGAAGGCATTTACCCCAAATCTTGTAACCAGAGTTAAAAGTAGTTCTTTTGAGAGCTAGGAGCAAAAAGATGAATAGCTCAGTAATGGCCATAAGCATAGTTAACCAAAGGGACCAGGAGATCAAGGATTGATACCAGTTATCAGATACTTGACTAAACTTTCTAATTATCCCT